TAATTCTCAACATATCCACGAGATAACCTTCCAAAGTTACTTCATTTTGAAACAATTTAAAAACAACTTCATTAAAACATTTTAAGACAAGCAAAACGATTTGAATCAACTAAATTTCCTCATTCCACTCCAAAAACCACTCACACAAAAATCAAACGACGCTCTCGTCCAATGCACCAATATCTTATCCAACAAACTAGAGATCAGCAGTGATCTCTGTTGCAAACACCTAATCTATCTATCTCAAATTTGCTGACCTTAATCGATAAATCAATCAATCCATATATGCATATTATGTTTATCAACTTTAGAATATGAATATGATTTTTGAAAACATTAAAAACAAAAACTTAACCATAATAATAATAATATAATAACAGTTACTATTATCACTACCATTACTATAACAGCAACAATAATAATAACAATAATAGTAAATTATAACAGAAAAAATTCTCTTCAAGAAATCTATGAAATCAAAAAACAAAAAAACAAGTTCTCAGATGAACACTGTTTTCCTACGACTCAACTATCGTTTCAATCAAGAGCACAATTACAAAACTCCATAAAACCAAAGTGGGATCGATGAATGGATCACCTCAGACCAAACAGAACTGAGCGCAAACGAATAAATTATAGCCTCAACTATCTCTAGATTTGCACCTCTCAAACTTTCCATTCGACCAAAATCTGCCCTGTTCATTAATCCAGAATTAAGAATACTTATAATATGTATGTGTATGTATAATATATATGTACTTACACGTCTATATATAATATAAGAATAATATTTGTATCGAATATAAATGAAAAAGTTCTAGAAACAGTACGCAATCACTTCAGTTTTCATTTTCTAATCTTCATCTCAACTACAACGATTTTAAAGTCGGTCTTGATCTTTATCACGAATAAATGTATCTATGATAGACCCTCACCAAGAGTTAAGCTGATGTGAGAGTAGAGACTGATGTTTACTCAATTCGTTTCCGAACAATATCGCAAAGTGATTAATAATGACGATGACACAATACTGTGTCATGTAAGAGGACATCATTTCCACTATTAATTCACTAATTTAGTTTTGTTTCGTTCGACTGGTTAAAAAAAGGACCAATATAAAATAATGTCAATAATAATAATAATAAATAATAACAATAATAATCAAAAAGATAATGATAAGAACAACAAATAATGATTATGGTAATGAAAACGGTATGTGTCTCCACCCTGAGGAAGGATCAGACTTGGGGATTAAATATTTTGAAAAACTTCAAAAAATTTTGCGAGAAAAGTCCAAATTTCACACGAAATGAAAACGTCCAAAACTGAAAAACGTTTCATGTAAAAGTTTCAGATGAAATATACGAAATTCTAAACTCAAACAAAAAGACAGCAATGAAATATATAACGATGGGAGGAGATCATTGAGCAAACAACGGTTTTGAGACTGCGGAACAAACTCTTTTCAAAATAAAAATAAAAATCGAGCGAGAAAAGAAGATAGAGAGGAGGATGAAACGAAATAAATTCGATCTGGAATAATAGTTCTGAATAACTATAACAAAAACAAAAACGACAATAACAATCATAATAACAACTAGATATAATAATAACGACAGCTTTAATATAGTAGTAGTCTCTTACTACTCAAAAAGAACTTACTTATAGCAATATCGGTTGAAGCGTAGCAAGTGAACATAAGATAACACTCGTCAATAAAAAAACAAACAAACAAACGAATAATCACAAGTCAAATGAACAAAACAATAGAAAGAACACTCAAGGTGGGACCAATGCTGAGGATTTTGCTGTGATCGACCGACAGACAGACTCTTATTCAACTGATTATTATTCAATTGATCATTATTTAAATCGAACTGGTACTGTATGAGTTGAGCGTTAACATGATAGTTTTCTTTGAACATGGCAGAGAGGGAGCAACGCTTTTGCATCATCAATCAGCACTCTAACCAACTAGGGGTGTTGTGCGCTTGTGATCGTTCCCGCGCTCCGATAGTCCGACGTTCCGTATCCGGCCGAGCGTGGATGAACACCAGCACCACTCATGCCCCTGCCTCCTCCACGACCACCACCCATCGTACCACCTCGCATTCCATAGCCTGCTCCTCGCATCCCTTCAAATTTCAATCACTCATTCAATTTCCATTATAAACCTATCATGCTCTTCACTTATACAATACGACACAGACCAGATCACCATCAACTAACTTTATGTCGTTGTAAAAAACCAAGCACTATACTGATGCGAGAAGGATTCGTGCTGATTCGAAATCAAACAATCAAGAAATTACAACCAATCACTTAATACCAACCCTGCATCGGAGGTCCACGGTATGGCATTCCTCTGGGACCACCCTGGCCAGTTCCACTGCTCTGTGCTCCCTTTTGCTCAGATAGAGTTGCTTCACCATCAAATCCGAATGAATCGATTCTCAACGATAGGAAATTCATTCCACGATCCTTAAAATCAAAACACACATATACGATTGCATAATTCTCCTACGCTATCTACATCTCTCTCAAACGCAAACAGATTCACTGATAAGAGTCATTCAAGATATACCTTTCTGCACGCAGCAAACGCGTTCTTCGCACCCTCAACCGTTTTCATCACAACAAACGCATAAACGTTTCGTTGTGCTTCCGGTCCATCCAGAACACGTCTTGGTACGTTCACTGTTGCCACCGGACCGAATTCTGAAGTTATCTCATCTTACAACTCACCACTGTCACTTAACAATAAGTAAGTAAATAAGCGAAACAACACAACATCTAAACAAACTGATCATTAAACTGCAATCTAAACTCACTCTCAAACGCCATTCTAATCTCGCGTTCCACCACTGCCGGTCCGTCCGGAATGATATTCCTCGAGATACCGCCAATGTACAAACGACACGCATCCTCACTAGCACCGAAACGATTACCCGTATGCGCCACTGCTGCTGTCGTTGCACTCGTGTTACTGCCACCACCATACACCTCTGATTCTTCAACGGACCAAGCAAATTCAACTTCAAATACTTCAACAGTTGGTCAAAATCAATCTGGATCGAAACTAGAAAACACACCATTCGATTGTTGGATATTTTGTGATGGTTGTTGTTGTTGTATAACGGAATTATTCGAAGTGGTCTGAGGCTGCTGCGTCTGGGATGCAGTAGCAGCAGCTATATTAGACGATTGCCTTTGCGGTTGATTGCTGCTTGATGATGACGACGACCTGCCTCCGACCAGTTTAGCCCATGTCTTTGGTCCTGTATCCACAGCGCTCGTTACGACCGTGCGCTGTGCTTGTTGCTCTTGAGCCTGACATCAATAAAGTGGTTAGTCATCACCTCTGAGAATACCATTCCTAACTAGCGCTACACTGCATTACATCATTATTTTTTTGATAATGGCAAAATCGTTTTCAGGCAAAATCAACATGATTTCGTTTCACTACCAGTTGTCGACTTCACCAGGAATACTTCGATTCAATTTCAGAGTCGTTCACACAAATCCTACTTGCCACCATCACCACATCGAAAACAAATGCGCATACTTGATCACCATTCTCGCGTTACAATTTCAACATTTCATCATTCAATCGCCCAACAACAGCAATCNTAAACTCAGCACGAAATTCACCACTTAACTCCACCAACTAACAATACTACCTGCTCATTGGGTTGTGCTGCAACAACATTCACATTGGCATTCGTTGTGCTCGTCATATTATCATTAGCGCTATCACCATGCGTCGTTGTATTCACCTCATTTGCAGTCTCAAAACCTCGTTGCGTTTGTTCGTCGTGTTGCTGTTTGTCAGACGATAGCTCATGCTGTGCTTCTTGCAGTTTCTCATTCTGTTCATTCAACTCACCTCCGCCACCCATTTCTTTTTTCTCGTCTCTTTCCACAACATTTTCTTGTGCTGATGCCGTTGACATGGTTGACGACTCTGCAAATTCAACACTTTTTTTAAGAATGAATGGATCGATAGAAGATCGATTCTTTAGTCACACACAGACGAGATCAGTCTTTTTTGAAAAAAAAATGAAGGCACACTGAACGCATTCGATATCCGAAAACTGAACACTGAACATACGATGGAGAGATCCATCTGCAGGCACTTGTTGATGCCCATTTACAGTCGGTTGCACTCCACCATTCGTCAAACCACTGTTACCACGTTCGTCCACTTCATTTTGCACACTTTCACTTACATCTTCAAAATGAATTTTATTTCGATGCATTCTGCATACTCTGCGTTTATCATCATCAAAAACTATCATTCTTTGTTCTAGAAGCATAAAATAGTATTGTTCCAATTCACTTCGCACAATTTATCCCTCACACAACTCAAACTACAATACAATCAATCTCGATAAGAACGTAACCCAGTAAGGATTACTTATGTTTTTGCATGCACGCTCACAACCACTTCTGAATCCAGAACCCCGAAACACCTACTTTGTTGCTGCTGCTGTGTGTTCGTCGGTACAAGATCAACGAAAGCTCGATCCAACCACTGAAACACGTCGTTGTGCACGTAGTATTTCTTTGGAGTTTGTGGACACAGAATGAACGTTTGAAGGAAACGTCTTCCCGGCTGATCGTTCATCGACAGTTCACCACAAACCTTCAAAAGTACCAACAATTATTTCAACGCCACTCTCATCTTTATTCACTTCATGTTCGCACATTCAATCATATCGGTACACCACTCCATTTCGACCAAAACTGTCCTTGCCGTTCACCGACGAAAGTTTCGCTCGAAACCCATTGGCATACCAATATCATTGATGTTCTGAACCCGAGCCAGGCTATCATTTGGCTTGTATCTATTGCCTAGTTCAAATTCATTTCATGCTCATAATTTTAAACCTGTATTCCCCCTTCCTCCATGTCATAATCAGTCGACCGTAAACGTGTCAATCAAAATAACCAACCGTACAAGTTCATAAAGTCTATACTATAAAATCCGCACGCAATATGCATTGCTTGCTGTGTTATTAATGTATATTGATTGATTACCACGTGCCACTCACAACGCACACACACACACATACAAACACACAAAAAAACAACTATTCCATCGTTTTAAAAATAAGCCATCAAAAATTAGAATGAAATAAAAATACACGGTTTCTCGCATAACAAACCTGAACAACTAGACAATTGTTGATGGTGGCTGTACCGCAAACCGTGTAGATACGTGCTTTACAATCGACAAATTCAAGACGTTCGATTGCCTCACGAATTTTCTGAAGTTAGGGCAACAGCGTATGAGAATGACCAAATTTTTGAAACAAACTCATGTAAATTTCAAAACAAAAAACATCAACAATCAACCTGCTGTCCTTGTACCGGCTGATCGATGTCATGTACAAAATAGGATTCATGACTGTAGAAACGGAACACATCTTGTGGCCGCTCTGATAGCATCGTATAGTATTGACGAACAAATTCACGTCCAATTTCTGAAAAAAATTATATAATTTAAAATTTCAAGTTTACTCATCAGACAGACATCGGAGAACCTATCATGCCATAATGTGTTGATTCACTTTATTTTCCTCGAAGTCACACAGTCATTTTAAAACATGAAGTGATTTTGTGAACAAACAGAATTTGAGGAATCTGATAAAAATATTGGGAAGCTGAATAAGTTGTGCAATATGCCTTTCGGAGAGGGTTGTGTCTGTTTCTGCTGCAACTCACTACGTCCGTTGACCAGTTCGTTAACTCCCTCCATCTTCATGTTTTGCGCGCGATCACGCGATTCCTTCAACAAAACTAATTCATTTACGATCAGCAATCAGTAGAGCTTACGCTTCATCAAGAAGCACGTAACCACTGTAATACGTAACTAAAACACTGAATGACAACGGTTTACGACAACAACAAATAATGATACGAGCACTGAGAAAACGTGTGAGCATTAATGTACGAAGACTTCTGCTTTATGCATATATTTCATAAAGCTAATTATAATCTCATCTCATCTCCTTTTCAACCAATTGATCATCTTCTTTCACCAAACAAATCCCAGCAATTTGCTCAACACACATGCACAAATTATACACCACCATGCTAACCACCAAAACCATACACGATTCAAGATGAACATCAAATACAGATGACTGTCGATTGAAATGTTGCATTTAATTCAAAGCGTTGTACAGTATATGCTAATTAATTCTATGGCCATATTTTCATTTTCACAGCAGCAATAACAGAAAAAAACATGCGACAACACACAATCTTCCAAGTTAAGATTTGACGTCTCTCATTGCTGGCTGAATTTCTTTAATTTTCATCTATCAGCTATCAGACGAATGAACATCGTTGTAAACTACAGCTGGACAAGAATTCTTAGTGATCATCGTAAACATCTAACTCAAACACACGCACACACTACTAATCCAGTTCATAGTATCTTAATTGCTCACAATCAGAAACCATTCATCAGAAATTACAAAACCAGCTGCTAGACTAACCAGCCGATTTCAACGCAGCAAAACGCAAAAAAACGGAAATGAAACAACTTCACTCTAGCGCATCACCTCAACAATATCCACCTCACAAGATTATCTGATTGTAACGTATACATATGATTGTAAAAATGATAAAAATCATAAAGTGCAAAGCGTTAAAAATTACA